AATCAAGATGAAAATTTTCTAGTAATTATAAAATGTTAGCCAGCGAATCCGGTATAAAAGTTAAGCCTCTAAGTCGGCTTTAGCGAGCAGGCCAAGATCGATGCTCCTTGAATTTCAGTACTTTGCCTAGTATCATCAAACCTAGTATCATCACCATAAAACCTGAGAATACTGAGGGATAGGCTGATATTTGGAGGGATACCTTATTTGGCCGGTTCTGTTTACAAAGATATTTTTTATATATTCTAAAAAAGTTTTATAATACCATTTACTTAATTACTGAATTAACTAGATTAATTTTCCCACAAATTTATTGACCGCTTCTCATAAAAGTTAGTACCATTACACACTTTATTACAGAAAAACGTAAAGTTCAATTGGACAGAGGAATGAGAAAAATGTAACTTATATTTATTATGCGTATGTTGCTTTATTTATTAAGCCCTTTTTTTTCTAAATTTTAATTAGTCCAGTTAAACCACTCTTCGGAGAAAGTTTTCTTTTTTTAAAATAAGTTTATTCCTCTCTGTCTCGCTCCTTTTCTCTCTCTCTCTCTCTCTCACACACACACACACACACACACACACACACACACACACACACACACACACACACACACACACACACACACACACACACACACACACACACACACACACACACACACACACACACACACACACACACACACACACACACACACACACACACACACACACACACACACACACACACACACACACACACACACACACACACACACACACACACACACACACACACACACACACACACACACACACACACACACACACACACACACACACACACACACACACACACACACACACACACACACACACACACACACACACACACACACACACACACACACACACACACACACACACACACACACACACACACACACACACACACACACACACACACACACACACACACACACACACACACACACACACACACACACACACACACACACACACACACACACACACACACACACACACACACACACACACACACACACACACACACACACACACACACACACACACACACACACACACACACACACACACACACANTAAACAAACAATATCATTTGGAAGAGGATTAATAAGTGTTGACATTCATACAAATGAGTAATCCTGTAAACGTAAACAGAATATTTTATATAGATTTTTTTTAATGAAAACTTAAAATCCTGCATTATTTTCCGGACAACCCAATACTTCCCTTTGGTTTTAAAAATTCACCAGCTATATTTTAAATAATTTTAGCAAATATTGTATAATTAGAAAATATAAATTAGACAAATATCTTTGAAGATCATTTACAACGGATTGGATTATCTTTCAAATCAGTTAAAAAAGAAGGATTTATGTTGAAATTAACGAAATGTGGTTTTGATATGCATTCTGTAAAGTATTTTGGACGTGTGAAGTAAAATTAACACGTCCAGGAAAGATGGTTCGCCAAATGTTGGGGAAGATTAAGTTTTAAGATTATTTGGAGATCGTGAGGTGCGGTCTGGTGTGACGTAGGTTTTAGACAAATTTTTCTTTATCATGCCAACGTTTCGATCTTTATTGAGATCATCTTCAGGGCCTGGCATTTATAAATATTGTTTAAAGATGCCAGGCCCTGAAGATGATCTCAATAAAGATCGAAACGCTGGCCTGATAAAGAAATTTTTTTTTCTAAAACCTACGTCACACCAGATCGCTCCTCACGTTCTCCATAGAATCATTGGCTAATGGTCACTAAACACCACACATTAAGTTTTACCACAAATTTATTGACCACTGCACATAAAAGTTAGCACCATTACAGAAAAACGTAAAGTTCAATTGGACAGAAAAACGTGAAAAATGTTTTGAAAATGATTTGAATACGACGAAGACTATGAGACAGTAATAAACGTAGACGCAAATCATTTAGGCTTGGTTGCGGTTCTCAAACAGTCTTAGAAAGATGAAATTTTACATCCTGTAGAATATTTCTCGAAGAAATTAACTCCAGATCAAATAAAAAAAGAAATGATATGTTTTGAACGTCTTGCAATAAAAGAGACAATAATTTCTTGGCAACTTTATTTGATAGGTAAAGAGTTTGTAGTAAGGACAGATGCAAAACCACTTATAAATTTAAAATCTAAGAACTCATGAAGCGCTGGATGATAATATTTGCCTCAATATAACTTTAACGTGAGTTTTACATAAAGTAAAAATAATATAGATTCTGGTGCTTTTTCTAAAAATCCACTGTTAGAATGTTTTGAGAATGATGATGATTATTTAAAGGTAGTGACTATGATTGACTTAAAAGAAATAATGAATGATCAAAATTCTAATAAAAATTAAATTGAAAACTCGAACAACTTTTTAAACGATGGTGATATAATTTCAAAAATTCTCTCTGGCCATTTATCCTTCGTTCTTTCTTTATTTTTCTCTCTCTTTTTCTCTGTCTCTTTATATTTCTATTTGTCCGTCTCTCCATTCTCTTACATTATTACCCCCCCCTCTTTCTCGTTCTATCTCTCTCCCTTCATCCTTTTTTTGTTTTTATTTTCTCTCTCTTTTTATCTCTATTTTTTTTCCTCCTAATCTCATTGAAATATATACAGGGTGGTAAACCCGAAAAAAAAGAAAGAAGTTTTTACGTGTTTTTTCCGTAAAATCCCGACCTTAAGCCATAACTTGGATTTTTTTCAAGATCTAGAGTATCTGTTCTATTTTTAACCACATTTTTGAATTCTGATCAATCTTATCAAACGCCGATGTTATACAACCCAAAATGAAGAATTTTAGGAAAGGAGAAACTTTTGATAAATTTCCAAAAATGACTGTTTTTCAACAAACATATTTGTAGGGGTTCGAAACATTATAAAAACTTCTTCATTTAATAAGATTTCTTATGGCGTATTTGAAGTTCAAAAAAGTCAAACCTTCAACGGTAAAATCTGGAATGTTAAAAAAAACCTGGTTCAAATGTGTAAATTTAACGCATACAGAAGAGGAGTGAACAGTGAGATTTGGAAAATTTTAAACGGCATTGTTGATGTTGCAGGATTTGAAAAAAAGGAATGCATTATGTAAGATTATTAAGTCAAATCTCTTTATTATGCAATAAAATACTAAAAAAAGAGGAGACACAACAAATGTTCAGATCCTCTTTATCATAAAAATATTCCAATTTAATCCTTCGATCCTTCAGACCATTTTGCTTTGGATCTATGTTGATACAAATTCTATTTGAAGTTTAATTAACGAATTGATGTTTTAACCATGATTTAATTAATTGAATTAAATTAGTGTTTTCAACCACCGAAACTATAAATGTTTTGTTTTTTCTTTCAACCATTTCACGTATCTTCTTTGTATGCCCATGTTATTATTGATAATTTTCTTGATCCTGATTTTTATCTATGAGCAGTTTCTCTTACGTAAACCAACTTTTTGTTTGATTTGTCTTCTTCTAGATCTTCCTTTTCTCTTGTAACGCTTTATCGAGTTTTTTTTAGCAGTTCTCGATCCTTCGGTTTTCTTTTTTTTGTTTTGGTTGAGTAGAGAGAGCTAATAATTTCTCTGATTCCTGGTCTTATTTATTTCATTTTCTTTCCTTTCTTGTTTCTATCTTTTTATGATAGCGTTTTGCTTGTATTTATTTATTTATTATTTACTATACAAGGGAGAAAATATTATCTAATTGCTAAGGTTGTGGTTGGTAAATTATCACAGTAGGCTTTAACTTTTTGTCTTTAGACTTTCGTTTTTGTTACTTTTTATTTTAAAAATGTCTGTTTCTTTTATTTTTAAAGGAATGCCTGATCGGTTTTTTCAACGTAAACCTTTCTTCGTTCTTCATCGCATTTTTCTGTGGTAATGATGATATATTATGATGTATATATATATAAAGCTATTTGAGACTTTAGCCATTTTCGAATAAAGCGTATTATGACTAAAAATCCATTCTTTATTTGTAAAATCTGTCTCATCCGCATGTTTTATACTTCCTCTTGTCACACTACCAAAAAACGCAGGTTCAATTGAGTTTGATCTTTTTTGTCTTTAGTTTATCATTTTCTCAAATCTTTATGGTATTGGTTGAAATGAAAAAGTTAAGAGTCACGAGCGGGATTCGAACCCACGATAGCTCAAGTAGACCAGCGGCATATTGAGCCGTAGGTCGTGGGTTCGAATCCCGCTCGTGAGAATAACTTTTTCATTTCAACCAATTCCTTACATAAAGATTAATTAATTGAAAGAAGTTATTCGGAACACGAAATACAATGGATTTTCTCTAATGTTCTGTTATGAAATGTTTATTATTAGGGATCCTTTAATACGTTTTTGTACTTGATGCTTTCAAAATATTTTAATCTCTTACAGACTATAAGATCAAAGGATCATACGGGTTTTTGATCAATTTCCTGACAATCTGAGCTTATTAATTTGTCGGCAAAGTTTATAACTTTAAGAACAAGAAGAAGAAGAATATTTTCTTGTTAAATCAAGTCTATTTACCTGTTTTGTTTTAAAATTGTGATATTTACGTGCTATCGTGTTTTCTGTTGCGGGGGGGTGCATGCATGCATTACATAAAGATGTAAGTGCAATCTATCTCTGATTTAAATTTAGTAAAATATATGTACTTGCAGAAAGAAAGGATAAAATAGTCTAAATGTCAAAATTAAGGTGTATGTTTGTGGTAAGACGTTTTAGATTGATTTTTTTTTAATACGAGAACAACCGGGTCGATACGATTTCTCATTTTCCTCCCGGCTTAGTCAGCGTATTGTCTCAAAATTGGGCAAGATCCTCGGTAGGAAGGACGTTCCTCGAAGGGTGTCGCAAGTCCGTCCGGGATCCCCAGGCGTCCCGCGAGTGGAAGAGGAACGCTGCCGCGCCCCACCGCTCTCGCTTTCCCCGGGACGTATATAGGCCTCACTTTGTCAGCAATGATCAGTCGGTTTTCGGTTTCCAACCCGTACAAAAATCAGCCGACGGGACCATTTTTCACTCACTATAAGGCCAATTGTTCAGAAGGTTGAGGAAATCTCTTGACAATAGGACTCAACTTGTGAAACCAGGTTTGTGGATTTCTCTTTTAAAACATCATCAAACGTACAAAATCTAAAATTTACAACCAGGATTCTTTAAACTCTTTAGAATACAGATTTTTTAATATATTAAGACAAAAAAAATTAAAATTTAATACAGCATAATAACAAAAATCGAAACGATAAATGTGATTAAAAAACTCATCAAACGGTTAAAAAATTCTCAAAAAAGATAAAATGAATATAATAAATTTTGTTCAATTTTTTCTCAATTTTGTAAAAATGTATTGCTATTAAATATTAAACATTAAATTTAGTTTTTTTGTAAGGTATTGGTTGAAATAAAAAAGCTAGTGTCACGAGCGGGATTCGAACCCACGACCTTCGGCTCAATACGCCGCTGCTCTACCACTTGAGCTTTTCAGTTTTGCTAATAAAGACCCTGTTTAAAAAAAAAAAATATATTTATATTTTTAGCAAGACAAACAAGACAAACTAGCAGGTTCAAAACTTTTCGATTTTCTTTTAAAATTAATATTTTTTCTGTCGCCCTACACACTTTCTTTCAAATACCGATCCTTTTTGTAATATAAATTTAATCAAATTGTACCAAATTAAAAAAAAATCTTTCAAGTTTATACAACCGTCGACTGGAAACAGCGGGAATGTACGGACCAGTTGTTTAAAGAGTTTTCTTCCCTTCTCTAGTTTAAAACTAATTTTCTATATTTCAACCTATCTTATAATTTAAAAACTAATACGGTCAGTATAATTTAATTTAAAGTCTAAATATGCAAACATAGATATGTAAATATTTATATATTTTCTAGTGTTTGCAACAAGCTTTAGAAAAGTAGTGAAATAATTATAAACAATTTTCTTAACAGCACACTGTTTAACATCAGGTTAAGAGCTAAAATGGGCGGGCCCAAATCAGCAAATCATAACACCAAGGGTTGCAAACTTAACCGACATGTTTTCGTTATATATATTAATTAAAAATTATGCAATACTGGCTTGTGATAACATAAAAAGGGAATGGCGAACCAGGTGTAATCTTTGGGTCCGCCTTTTCTCGCTGCTCTGTCTTGGACTTTTCAATTTTTCTAACGATGTGTGATTCGTTCAATTTTTAACGAAGTTTCTCGATTAAGTAACCGGTTAAAATGTACAATTGTTATTGAAACAAAGGTTTATAAAAATCGAAGCGTTCATTAGTCAGCGAGTGGATTGATTTTTGAGGCGTCTTCGGGTCCGCGTTGTCTCGGTTGTCTGTCTTGGAGTTTCAATTTTATTACGGTATTTCTCGATTTGGTTTGACGTTAATTAATTAAATAGTAGCTTGATTAATTAGAAAAATTTATATAAAAACGTACTCAAATTAGAAAGTTAGATAGACTTTGAAAGGATGTACTTGTCACGACGCTTCTTTTGGGTCCACCTTCTTTCGCCTGTCCGTCTTGAAAAGTTAAATTTTTAATGATGTTTTTCGATTAAGTAACCGGTTAAACGTACAATTTTTATTTAAACAAAGGTTTATAAAAATTGAAGCGATCATTGGTCAACTAGTGGAGTAATTTTTGAGGAGGCTTTGAGTTCTCGTTCTCCCGCTGGTATATATTTTAAACGTTTGCAAATAATTGATTTTTATTATAACCTTATATTATAAGGACAAATAGGAAATGTTGTACGATTCAAATTTGTACGCTCTTTCGTTCATTTTTATTGACATTCAGTTTTCTTGATTCTTTAACAAAGCTTTTCTGTATTACTGTTTTCTTACAAGTTAGAATTACTTAAGTAAATGTGTTTCCTATTACAAACCCAGCTTTCAGTTTTTGTAAGAATACGGCATATTATCATTAAACATTCATTGTTTTGATTCTGGATATGGTAACATATGAGGTTTGGAAAATCTCTTTTGTATGATTTCTCACTACTTGTCAAAAAAAGGCAACAGAAGAATTTGAAGCAGACAAAAGCGATAGTTCCACAGAGAGAAAATCTCGATATAAAGGCATTTTCTGTTTCTTTCTGTTCCGCTCGGGTTGGTCATCCGGCTCTTGTGATACACAACTTTCTGGAAGGGTGGCCAGAGGCCGGTGCGGCGGACGTCGTCCTTTCTGCATCCGACTTCTGGAGAAAGTCGCAGCTTTCTCCGAGAGCGGACCGACAACTCAGGCAAATGGCAGAGTCAACGGAGACAAAAAGGAAAATCACGTTGGTAAACAAGTTAAAACAAACAATGGAAAAAAATAACTGGGCTTTTCCCCCAGGCATAGTGTTTTTTGGTTATACTTTGGATTCCAGTCGGTCTTAGGATACACAAAATCATATTTCTCTTTTTGATCATTGTGATGTATCAATTATATAACAAAGACGAATTTTTGTGACTGTAGTTGCTATTCATTTTGGCCGAAACATTGAGAGAAAGGTTAGGGTGTCAAAAAGACCACAATGCACTAAGGATACTGTGTATAGTTAATTACTTATTAAACTATTTTTAAAAATTTGTTTCCCTTATTACTTGGCCAAATAGACTATTTTTGAAGCCACAGGTATCTTTTTTTATTAGAGTATTTTCCATTTTTAAGTCATAATGGCACAAACGATGGCGAAAGTGAGAATGTTTGCCCTATTAAAAGGCATCAACATGAACTTTCAAAAATAAGACATAATAAAAATGGAACATTAAATTAATCATTCTTTGACACCCTAATCTCTAAAGATACAAAACTCTCATAATAGAAAATAAGAAAGGAAAAAATCTGAGATTAATAATGTAATAAATTATATTATTATTACAGAGATATGACTAGTCAGTTATTTTGAAATTTAATTAATCTTTTTATGTAAGGTATTTGTTGAGATGAAAAGCTCGTGTCACGAGCGGGATTCGAACCCATAATCTTCGGGAGTATCTTGAAAATAATGAATCAATTCAGATTCTGAGTGCTACATACAACTACACCATAAACAAATATATATGCATTTAAATTATCATTTTATCACATTTCCAAGATACTTTTGTGTTCTTTTTTTCATTCGCTCTAATAATGTTGTTTTTTCTCTCCCTATTTTTGTTTATTTCACATTTGTACTACTAAAATCTCTGATTATGCTCGTTTTTTTTTAAGTCTGAAACTTTTCTGGATTTTCTGTTATCTTCGTTTTTGTACATTTTTCTCTCGTTCTGTAAAGCCTGATTAACAAGTTGCCAGTAAGTGTGCCAGTTGATCTTCCCAGCCAGCAAGGGCAACACAGACATATGCCACACAATCATACATGCGAGCGTGCCGGCCATTAGCATTGCCAATGAAACAAAAACGCTTACTGGCACTCCTCCACAATTTTTTTTGAACTGGTCCTCGCTGCTTGTGTAAACGCAACATGACTAGTCTGGTTGAAGTGTGAATATTGCCTCATGGAACATCTGTTGAATGTAGCTCTCTTAAAAAGATTCCCGATGAGTTTCCTTCTTTTTATCTCTTTATTATGCATCTTACCACATCCTTTTTCTTCTCTTCTCTCGTAACAATTCTTGTAAAAGTTCTTCATACACAACGAAAGAAACAAAACGGAGAGATTTTTTGAAGCACTTGTCTATGTGTACACACTTTTGTGACAAAAGGCAAACTATCACTAGAGCTGTCAGCGTTTTAACTGCTACTGCACAATATAAACGAATATGATAGGCATAAAAGAGGCGGCCACAAGACCTACTGCACCTCGACCTGAATAGATCTATTGTGTTCCCTCCGCTGTTATTTATAACTCACTGGCCAGCTTCAGGTTATTAACCAGCTTCCACAGCTTTGCCCGCGGGTTCTTGGTGTAGGATCTTGCTTGTGGTTTTTCTTATCCTACTTGCAAGAACCTGCACCTACATAGACCTTCGCAGAAAAATAAAATATGTTCTGCCGTCTCCTCCTCTTTCTGGCAGTATCTACACAGTGTTTTTTCTGTCTGTACTCCTATCCGGTGCATGTGCTTTCTTAAGCGGCAGTGCCCTGTCGCGGGAGATCAGGCTGATGTACTTCGGCTTAGGTAGCCCTTTGCGCTCGGCATACGATCTGATGCTTAATGCAGACCCGGCCACTTGGAATGGACAAGCGGGGAGGGAGGTTGTCTTGGCCCTTCGGGGCTGAGCTGCTTCTACACCAATGCTACGGCGGTATCACAATCCTGTCGTATGCGGAGATGAGTCAGCTCTCATCTTGACAATCAAAACGTCCGAAAGGCCGAATAGGCTAGGTGCGGACGTTAAAGATCCTCAGAGTCCTTTTTAGGTAGACCGAGTATGCGGGAACCTCATGCCCTGTCAGGACATCAAAAAGAATCCTGGTTAGATTGCAGTTGCCTTCCAGTAATTCTTTTGTAAGAATTGCTGAAGGACCTTATATGAATCTCTGCGTGCCTCATACCTGTGGTATTGTTCATCCAGGTTTTGGACTCATTTAGGATCCATTTTAAGATATGTAAACGAATACTACTAGTTAATTATCAGTAGCTGGCAGTTGTCAAAAAGTTGCATGCCAGTTACTAGCACCAGTGGCATTGCAGGTCAGTACCTCAACTGGCCAAGTTTATCAGCCAATTATCGAACTGGAAATTTATTGAAGCCGTTAATTTATACATCGATGGTTGATAGTTAAAAAATAAATACGCCACTTATTTTTTCATTTTTTCAGTTACAACCGGTTTCAGAACATATCTAGATATCAAATTATGAAAATCTTTTTCTAAAGACTTGCTCAACCGGAAAAAACATAAGCTTTCGTTTATCAAAAGGGCAAGCCGAAAGCGTGAGGGGGAGATAAGAAAAGGCGAAGACTAGGAAGTAAACAAAAGCTTTCTCCGTGTAGGATTACTTTTTGCACCGGTTTTCTTTTTAATGTAGGAGTCTCAAGCCCACGGCTTGGAAAATCCCCCGGTGATTATGCGTCTCACAATATTAACTCCTACGTGCATATAAAACGTTATTGTAAAGAAACTCATTGTTTTGGTTTCTTTCATATAACGTTTTTACTTTCTAATTTTATTTCATATAGGAACAATAACAACAGTCGAAAATTTAGTTACGTTTCTGAAGGGGAGGGGGTTTAAGTGTTTATTTCGCAATTGGAGACGTAGCCATCAGTTGACCGTCGAAGTGATACAATCCGTTGAACCGGCCTTGGTTTCCTTTTTTCTCTTTTCGAGGATGGCACCTCCTTCGAGAAATCTTAGACACGGCCAAGCAGCGAATTAGTGAAAACGAGGAAGTTGTGCAACCGATTCGCCTTCGTCCAGTCGGACCGGATTTTCAAAAATTTTAAATCAACGGGACAGAAGCAAAAATGAAAATTGACTTAAAAAAAAGAAACCATTTCTTACAGAAGGGCTATACCTGCAATACCATAAAAATTTAAAAGAATCTCATTTTTTCATTATTTTCTATTTCGCTATTGCCAAAATATATTAAATACAAATAAATATAGCCACTTATTATCGATCCCTTTTATATTCTTTTGGATAATGTTGACTTCCTTATTGATCTTTCTTCTCTGTCTTTCTATGTTAGATTATCAATTCTGTGTTCTTCACTTTTTTCTTTTCAATCGTGTTTGAATTTTCTAGAATTCTAACTCTTTTCCTGTAATTTTTCTTATTCGTTTTCTAAATCCCATTTCACTTTTTACTATCGTATACTTTTTCGTCTCTTTCTTCCGATTTGCCTCCGTTTTGCCTCTCCTCACTGCACTCGTTTTTTGTACTCTTACAACCCTCCTAGCAAAGTGAAAGGAACCTCTTGTACATGGTTTGTAGAGAATGTGACAAGTGGAAAGATAAGGGCAATTGTTGAGAAGAAAAAAAAAACACAAAAAGCTTGCATTTGTCATATATTCTTTGTATATCTTCAAAAAGGTCAGTAGAGCTAGAATGATTGTAATGTACAATGGACTTGAGGTAGGTCTCGTCTACTCTTAAGCAAAACTCACACATCCAATATGAGTGAAGCCTTAATTTTTAATAATGTAAGTAGATGGCACCATGTAAATCATTAGAAATAGTTGTCTTGATGTAGGGGATATATTCTTCGAAAGCTTGACAAGGAACTGAGTGTTTTTCATTCTTTCAAATTCGCCTTATCACTGAATATTTATACAAAAGCATAAAATTAAGGCTGATGTCAATTACATCAATATAATTGTTTTTTGAAAATAATAATGGTTATAATGGTAATGATAAATTTTGGTTTATAGATGAAGACGTTTGTATTGCTGGTTTGCCTGCTAGCTTTGGGCGGCTTGTCGTCCGGAGAGGACTGGGCTTGGAAAAAAAGCTCAGAAGCTTCCGAAGAAGAAAAGTCCGAAGCCGGCGAATCCACGACCCTCAGACCCGCGTCCACAAACGACACACAGGCCAGGCATTTCATCAAGGACAGACTCTGCGACCTCGGGCTCGGCGGGGTGAGTCGATTTCAGTTCTTTTACAACCGGAATTTGGTTTTATACATTCCGATTGCAGTGCGGAGATGAAGAGATAGAAGAAAAAAGGCCGCACGTTCACCCGCACGATCTGATATACGCTCAACCCGTGCATCTTAAACCCGTGGGACGTCCCATCCCCGCGGTGCCGGTACGCGGATCGCCGACCGGACCCGGCTACGGTCCACCACCTCCCTCGATCGGCGGATACGGTCCTCCTAGGCCTGTACCTTTCCGTCCAAGGCCCAACATTTACAACAAACCGCCGGCGATCTACGAACCAGAACACGAGCCCACCATCTTAGAAGAAAAACGCCCAGGTACGGACTAAAAGTTACAAAATAAATATCAACCGTTGTCTTTATCTTATATTTTAAAGGACATCACGGAGTTAACGGCGTACAGACTCATGTACATCATCATTTCCACCATGGAGACGAGAAAGATCATCATACTGGAGTGTACGACACGACAAACACCCTTCATCCCGTTTACTCCCCAGGATCCAGCTATTCTCCACCATCCAACTTGAACTTTTACAAGAAACAACTTAACGTCAAGCAACCACACGCTCTGAGTAAGTCATGCGTTTAAACGGGACAGTTTCAGAAAAAGTTCATTTTTATTTTATTTACAGACCCACTTGTCCAGAACAGCTACGAGAGCTACCCTCCTTATCAGAAAGAAGAGTGCTACTGCGTCCCCTACGATCAGTGCCCTCCTCACGAAGTGGCCCGCAAGGAAGACAGAAGGGAACCGCTCATCGATCCCAGGGCGAACCCTAGTGACATCCAGGCCCTCGCCGAAGACGAAGTGGTCGTGACAGACGGAAACGGAACTATGACCGTCGTTAAACAGAAACGCGAGTTGGACGAAGAAGTAAGTTCAAATGGGAAGATTTTCTTATCTTTCAATTAGTACAAAAAATCAGTTTCACATAATCGGTGGCTTTTAGCTCGTAGGCGTTAAAGAAGAAAGTGCTTAGGATTGGTAAAAACCTATAAGAAACACCTCCTATGACTGCCGGCATAACAAATTCATTGTCTTGTTTTGAAAAGGTTTGCCTTTAAAAGTTGCATAATCCGCCCATAATCGTTTTGGTTTCCGCTGGAAGTGGCCCGGATCGAAACCCACGACCACGCTCGTCTTGTATAATATAATCGATATTGGGCGCGAATTATGTAAAATCGTCTGGTTTTTTCTTCTTTCTATATATTTAAAAAAAAGTTTCGTCAGTGTTAAATTTTTGATAAATATAGTTATGATTTGGTTAGAAAATGAAAGCAACAAGAGCCATAACTTAAAAATGATGAAATTGCACCTTATTAAATTTTCCCTCCGATGATTTTCGTTATCCTTTCAGGTCGTGTTGAATAAGGTACACCCTGTATAATTTTCCAGACACCCATCTCTTTTTGGAAATTTCCGAAGATCTTCGTATCGTAATAGGTCAAAACTGTTGCGCAACGCGTAAATGGGTCAGCGGGGATGGGCACCGGGACATAAAACTGGATGGGCTCCAGGAGTCCCTTGACCTTGCTTGCATTGTGAGGAGTGTTGCAGTGTTACGCCGGTGAAAGCGGCTTGCGTAACCCGTTTTCACTTTCATCTCAAGGCGTCCTCGTCATACGCCTCTAGGAGCCCCTTTGCATTCGGATCGAACCAGGAAATGCCCTGGATTTTCGTCTGTCGTACAATTTGTGACTCACAACTCGTGCGGTACGTGTTTTAAAAATGAATCTTTAAATAAGGAGCAATATGATGGAGACGTGTACAAAAAGTCAAACTTGCTCTGGCTTAATTGAAGCCTGAGAGTCTCAACATGTTATCGTATTTCCTGTTCCGATACACCTTTTACCACCGGATGAGAAATTAAATCCCGGAAATTGCTTTTAAAGCTGAGCTCAACTTATTTTTCAGTTTCGACGGTTTTCTATAAGTCAAATTTTGAACTATTGCATGTTACCCATTCGAAAAAGATTTGACATTCTTTTCTGGCTGTTCTACAATTTTTCTAAACACATTCCTTTATTTTTCTAAGAGATTTTTTCTTTAATTTTAAATTTTTATTTGTTTGTTTCAGGAGAAGGCTAGAAGGAGACGCGAAGTGGAAGACAGCGAGGCCGAAGGTTCCGAGAAGAGCGTGAAAGCTGTAAGTGTTACGTCTTGGTTTAATTTTCTTCGCACCCGGTGGCTTGGGAGCTTGGTTAGAATACAACAGAACACTAACATTGCAGATCACTTTTTTAGTCTTAAGTATTATAGAAAGAAATGTATGTTAACACCTCCATGTGTATCTTAAAAAGACACTAACTGTCGATACAGAAGACACATAACAAGTTTTAACAAAGAAAAGTGAAAATGCCTCAAAGTAGAGCCGCTTCTTTCACAACTAATTATATTGTTTTGAGAGGCCGATGGACTTGTTGTGTGTTTTCTGTTTAACAGAAGAAACTCGGATTGGGCGGATCGAACGATGAGGACGGCGGCGGCGAAGGGCTGAAGCTGAGACCGACGTTCGGGGTGTCGTTCGGCCTTCCGTCCAACGGAGGCTATCAGACCAACCCTTTTGGACACTATCCCGCCCTCAATCCCTACGGGGGATCTGTCGGAGGGCAAGGCCTGGACCTCGGCCTCGTCTCCGTCAACCCTCTCCTTTCCGTCCAGGTCACCAAGGACGAGTACGGCGATAAAGTCGTCAAGCCTTTGGTAAACCTTCACGTCACACCGAACCACGGATTGGTGAACAAGATCGGAAATCTTCTCCACCACGTCAAATCTCCCAATTATGGACCGCCTTACATGTACCACCACCATCAACACGTGCACAAAATCCCACCTTTTAAGCCTTACCGGCCATACCCCGCACCTTACTATTCGCATTATACACCTCATTACTCACCCCAATATTCATCCTACCCGCCCTCTCACTCGTCCTCTTATCCTTCTTATTCGTCCTCTTATCCGTCTTCCTTCCGGCCATCTCCGTTCAGAGACGAACCCGAATACATCGACGACGACGAAGACGACTACTATAGAAACGCCCAGTCGAACATCACCGCCCAGACGTCTCAGGGCTCTGGAAAATTCGCTTTTCCGCAAGATAGAAGCGATCGTTCAAAAAGAGATACACAAGAGGTATTAACATACATTTGAAACAAAGACGCTTTACTTTCTAGCCTCCGATCCCAGAAAGATTTCCAGGACATCGCTCTTTACATCTCTTATCGTTTACAGCGCCAGGCGTATTACGGAGGAAGGAACTGCGGCCCCAGGGAAGTCTGCTGCAGGCGTCCTGCCAGAACTAGTCCTCAGTACAGGCCCCATTCAGGACAATGCGGTGTCAGAAACGCGCACGGCATCAACGGAAGGATAAAAAATCCAGTCTACGTCGACGGCGATAGCGAATTCGGTAAGTCCAAGAACATTTAACAAAAGTCTGTTACCATTTATTAAAACGGCATTTAATAATTACACTCGAGAATTTAAATAAAATTCACAGAATTTTTCATATTGGAAGAAAAATTATTCAATTAAAATTCAGTATGCCCAATATTGAAATTCGTCCTGGATATTGGGTGTGCAAAGTTTATTTTATACTTTTTTCGTTGAACATAATAGCGTGGGCTGGTCATAGTTGACTGTCGAGACCCAAGTCTTTACAAATAATAGAATCTTGGGGTGAACAACATATTCTATTAAGAGTTCAGTAGATATATCGTACCTTACTTTTGTCTTATGCGAAAATATGGATTCGAATTCTTACGTTTTTTTTTTTTAAAATTAGCCATAATTTATATTTTCAGGTGAATACCCATGGCAAGTGGCCATCCTCAAGAAAGACCCGCAAGAATCTGTATACGTCTGCGGTGGAACTTTGATCGATCCGTTGCACGTCCTCACCGCTGCTCACTGCATCAAATCGTAAGTGAGCTTCCCTTAAGCCAAAAATAGTAGCAAAAAGGGATATTTTTCAAAACCGTTTTTCTTGTCTTAGGTACACGGCGTTTGACCTGAGGGTTAGGCTGGGTGAATGGGATGTCAACCACGACGTCGAATTTTTCCCGTATGAGGAAAGAGACGTCCTCAATGTCAACGTGCACCCTGAATTCTACGCAGGTACTCTTTATAACGACTTGGCCATCCTGAGGCTGGAAAGGGCCGCATCGGCGGGAGTCAGCCCTCACATCTCCCCTGCCTGCTTGCCGGATCAGCACGCGGACTTCACCGGCGCCAGGTGTTGGACCACCGGCTGGGGCAAAGACGCTTTCGGCGACTACGGCAAATACCAAAACATCCTTAAGGTCAGTTAAAATTTATATCAGATTGGTAATTGTTATGTAGCAAATGTGAATAATGCTTATATATGACTTTTGCAGGAGGTGGATGTACCTGTCCTTAGCCACCACCAGTGCCAGGCTCAGCTTCAGCAGACTAGGCTTGGCTATGACTTCAAACTTCACCCCGGCTTCGTCTGCGCCGGAGGGGAAGAGGGCAAAGACGCTTGCAAGGGCGACGGAGGCGGCCCGATGGTCTGCGAACGAGGTGGCATCTGGCAGCTGGTCGGCGTCGTCTCCTGGGGGGTCGGCTGCGGCCAATACGGCGTCCCGGGTGTTTACGTCAAAGTACAGCACTACCTCCCTTGGATCAGGCAGATCACGAACCAGTTTTAAAATCCGCAATAACCTAAGAACTTCAGGCTGCCCGGCTTGGAGATAAGTGTAATGCATTTTGGCATTTTTCCATGTCTATAGTTTAGTGAAGGTTTTGTATTTAATTTCATCTGGCCAGTTAATTCAAACTAAACTTAATGTTCCCCTACTTAGTTTTGTTAAGTATTTATTTAACTTCGAGCTTTTAATTTCTTTGTAAATAAATTTTAATTATGTAAAAAATGTTTCACAATTTTTCCCCAACTCAAAAGCGTTTTTTAAAACAATTTTTCATGGTATGCCATACTATTGAAAAAGAAACCTTACAACATTGGTACATCGAAGATATCACAGTGGAATAACACGGAGTATTAATTAGGGAAATCAAAATTTCCAGAGAATCTTGAATTAAAATTAAATAAAACCCCAATACCTGAGGTGAACGGGTGTGTAGTCATTGCAAATTTTCTTTTCATTATCGAACAATGCAGCAGCTCACCCCTCAACATAATTAAGGCCCTGGATAGTATGCTGCTAGGTTCAGTTCGAACTTTTCTATCGGCAACTGGCGTATATCCCTCCTACGATTTGAAATTAAAGAAAATTAAACTGAAAATAACTTTTAAGTATTGAAGTAAGGAATGCTAACATTTTCTGTTTTTCGCACGGAAGGAGGGAACTAAGACGTTAGTTTCTCTCGGACGCATGGAGCAAATGACGTTGGGAGCAAGCTACGGACGCAGTTCCTCATCGGTTTAGGGATAGGGCGCAAGGGATTGAGGCAGCATTTCAACGGAAACATGAATAATTACGCCAATTACTTTGGCGAAAACAAACATTATTGACAAATAACAATTTGTCCTTAAAACAAAGAAAGTAAAGGTATTTATCAACGTTTATTATTGAGGTTTTTATGAGAATATGGGAAGTTTATGGGCCGGCCAAAACCTGAGATCATCGCCGGCCTTTTGCGTGTTTCCTCCTTTTCTGGTCTTCCAAGCATATTTTGCTTTAAACTGCAGCCATTTTAGCGTGTTGTTCTAGTTACTGCTCCCTACTTTAATATGTATACTACGTCCATATCCTAAAATGCTATCCTATCTAGTATAGGAGGGTATAGAATTCCTCGGGGCGGGGTTGAATCCACCATTCTCTCTAATAATTCATTTTTACTAATCAGATGCCGCAAACTCACCCCAAAATACTTGATATTCCTCGGTGCTTGGTTAACGACCCCCTTCCTTTCACGCTAATACATTACTTCCATTCCAATAACGAAGTTTTTAATAAAATGCAGTATTAAATTTAATATGAGAAAGATCTCACATTTTCCAGTTGATTATTATGAGTGTTAGGACTGATATCATTTACATAGAGTACGGAATGTTTAAACTACTTTCCATAAACACAAATCCGTTACCAATAAAATTAATTTTTAAAAGATGAATTACTTTTAGAAGTAGTACGCTGAAATTAATATAATCTGCTGGCTCACGGACCAATTATTTATACTGACAAATAATAATTTTATGTTCCTTCATAATATGTTCAAGAATATTACAAATGAAACTTTAATTTATTGTTATTTGCAATAAAAAAGTTGAAAAAAGATCTTGAACTGAACGGCGCTAGGGTGCAACACTTATGCAATTCAGAAGAGCGTTGCTGGTTTAGCCTATTCAATTGATTTAAGGCAGTGTAAATTGTAATTCTTATGTCATTCGAAAGCGACATACAGACGTTTTTACTATCACTTTTTTCCAAAAACACCGGCACCCTGAGGGTTAAATAACCCTATAGTTGGGGGTAAAATTAAAAAAAAAAAAAATAAAAATAAAATAACGATAATTGATCTTGAATCGAACGTCGCTTGGGCCCAACATTTATGGTATACAAAAAAGCATTGCTGGTTTAGCCTATTCAATTGATTTAAGGCAATTATTATAAGTTGATTATTTATTATATTATTGAGGGTACAAGTAAGTTTTCAAGATTTTTGGGGGCGTCGGTGGCCGCAACGGTTTAGGCGTTGACACGGCGCTCATCACTGTAAGGTAAAGGTCCTGGGTTCGATTCCTGCGGCCCAGTGTTCGAACCCGACATACGTGCAAATGGTTTTTTTTTAAAACACCTGCACCCCGAGAATTCATATAATCTCGTAGTTGAAATATCCTCGTAAAAAAAAACTTGTAGTCTTACCCATGACAAGAGTCCTTATGTTCTGTTTTTCTACCTTCTTCTTATTCTGCTCAAGGTTGAAGATCGATGATAGTTGCATGCATGTACGAACTTAGAAAAAAAAAGACAGGTGTTTTAAACATATACTTAAAATGCCAGAACAGCGTTGATAACAATATATTCCATAAACTTTTCAACATATTCCATACAAACATTATATATATATTTTTTGTCAGCGATAAAAGAATTGACATAAAGAATCTTTATGTTAACAATAATTTGTATAATACAATTTTATCTTTATTAGTATAATATAGATAGTATTTGTTTTTATTAGTTTGGCAAAATATAGTATTGACATAGACCATAGAAAATACATATATGTATTACATACATATATGTACATACAATATACATTAATAGTGAAGGCAGTTACACCAACATTGTATTTGTACCAGTTATTTTTTCATTTTATTTTTTCATACATATAGTTTAGCGTTCAAGTATACAAAACAATTACACATAATTTAATTCTTGGCGAGAGGTGTGTCTTAGTCAGTGCTGAGTTTTTCCCCGTTGATACGATGATAGAGGCGTGAAATAGGAAAGAAATGAGTAAAGCGAGTGAGATTTTTTTTTAAAGTTTGTAATTAATGAATGCTCTGGGGAAGACTCAATGCAACTGACTTAAGAAATCAAGCTTGGTTTTAATTAATATGTATTTATTGGCCCCGATAAAACATAAATAGCAAAATTAAGAAAACTTTTTTTAAAATTTAGTTTTATTTTTTTGAGCAAATATAAAGCAATGGATTTATAAATTCTTTTTAAAGAGAAAACTCGCCTTAACTTTTTTTAAATTTAACAGCTTCACCCTCACATACATTTATATATACATACATTTAATTTAGATAATTCCAATTGTTTAAACGTACACAATTTCCTTTATATACAGGGTTGACGTGCTTAAAAACAGCGTGTGCGATTAGAACAGTATAAAAAATTCATCTGACCGTGAAAAAAGATGTTTTACAAATTTGTTAGTTAATCAAATTGTTATTGTCGGATTCTGAGACGACCCTAAACGACTTCTACAAGCATTCTGTCCAAGGCTTTTTTTTGTGTTCAGCGGAAGCGAGAAAAAGAGGCGTAGGCCGCTGTTTTTAGCAAGAACGTTTATCTACCAGCTATAAAACTTTCACCTGTATACACAGTGGGGTGGAAAAAAAAAGGACAACGGAAGACAAAAGAACCGAAATAGCACTTGGTCGCAAAGCCACCGGCGGACGGGCTCGTGTATTTTTTCAAAGATATTTTATTTAGGCTCAAATTTGAGAACGATAAAAGGATTTGTAAAGATTAGGGTTGTTTGTGATGAACTTTTTAATCTGACATAATTGAGTTATACAATGAAAACCGGATCAGAGGTAGTTGCATGTTGCGTACATTCTTCGTGGTAAACCGTACTTGTTTTAGATGGGAGCAGTGACAATATAAAGACATACCTTTTTTCACCTCAAAGAAGCCGACACCTTATACCAAAATGTCTTTTCTATACCGACTTCCTTCCCCATCCCTTCAAAATCCAACGTATATAAACATAAAACAGCAATATCGCACTGGCACTCTCAACACGACACGCAAGGAGGGCACAATTACACAGAAGACAAACACTTTGAGTGAGTAGAAATACTTTGTTTGAATTTAAAATATATTTTGCATTGTATAAATTCACTTTTTTCCACATCCTAGATGTATTTGTTAAATGTAAACAATGTTTGTAAATCCCAGGCCCTGAAGATGATCTCAATAAAGAAAAAAACGTTCGCAAACCTTCATCACGCATCTCACGATTTCTGAATAAATAAAGACATACGTTCAGAAGTACAAGAAATTAAATTTTTTTAGGGATAGTGATATCCTCTTTTTACACCAGAAGGTTTTTTCTAGTTCATGATGCGCAGTAATTTTTGGAAAAAAACGGAAACCTAGAAGAGATAGAGACTTCGAACAGTATTTTAGTTTCATTGGCCAAAATAAAGTTTGGGGTTGTAAAAAAAGTTTCATGTATCTCATTTTGCTGTAAACCCAAGATTTGAGCACCATAATAGACAACTGAGCATGAAGATAGAAAGATGGTTAAAATATATGATTTTTAACATACAAGAGAATATCTTTGTTAACATTAAACTTTGTCCAGGCTTCATTTAAACTTAATTTGGTAGTGGCTATTGTTTTTGTAATACATGATTAAAAAAGAGACGGGGGATGAAAACAATTTTTAGATACATATATTTCTACGATTTCTATTTTTTCTCCTCCTAAAAATCACTTTCTGATGATGACAGCCTACCTCCATTTCGAAAAATCATTATTCTAGATTTTTTTATGTCAATCGCGAATCATTTACACCTGTACTTTCTATGGAAACGCATTTTATTTGAAATAGGCGTAAAATATTGTAATTTACAAAACGACATTCTATTTTAGCTCCGAGGAAGGCCAAATTTAGGCAGAAAGCTTGGTAATTGACAAAAATCACTCAGATGACCACAAGCTGATACACTGTCCATTCTATATGGAAAAAGTTATTGGTAAACGACATCGACGTTAGAGTGTAATTAAAAAAATACAGCTCTATGAAATTTTAAAATGAAATTTTTTAGCAGGTATTTCAGCAACGTGATTATACTCATGTACCCTTAAGGGTGTCGTGGTTGTTGAAAAAAAACCAAAAACATGTCGGAAGCTTTACCTTGTAGATGTTGATGTAAAAAGTGGAATAAACGACAAAATATAAGATAACTCACAAAAATACAGGGACTTGCATGCCTCTGTATAGGAGAGCAATGAGAAACGTCCCACAGCCGGCATGGACAACGGACTGGGATTACTCCGCCTCCCTCACATGATAATGAGAACAGCACAGAAAAATATCATTAGTGTTATAAAACAGAAACCTTCAATAGGAATCAAAAGACTAGGAATAAATCTAAAATGGAGAGATTAGAGATGGACCAACACTTTAATGAATGACCTCTCCATGGCCAAGAGATATATCTGGATGTTTAAGTTTACTAAAAATTTTAAATAATCTTAGGTACAAAAGTATGGGATAGAGAAGAAATACCTTTTTTAAGAATGGCACCATAAACTGGTTCCAGACGGGCCGGAGTATTCGGTCCTGAACCCATGGGAAAATACCCCAGTACCAGGGAGATGTACCCAATTAAAGGGTTCAAAAACAAGAATATAGCTATAATGTCAGATAGCCAAGCAGATTATCATTAGCTCAAAAATGGTGCTCATTGCAGAACTAAACTAATTAGGTCTGCAAAACAAGGACATGTGAGAGTAGAAGGCTACAAGAAAGTGGATTACAAGAAAATGGGCTACTATACGCTGATAGGACCCAAGCCCTTGTGAGGCATAGGAATCCACACTATCAATGAGCAAGTCAGACAGAAGGGTTAAAATCAAATAAAGGAATAATGGAATTCACTCTTGGACGTAACAGAGTGCATTCATGGAAGCAGGAAAAAACTGCGAACCTTATCAGAATTCATAACAGGTCACTGCAAACTAAATGGAGATCTGAAGAAGATTGGCATAACCCATCACGGAAAGTGCACAATCTGCAAACAATCAGAGGGAACACAACACACATAATAACTAATTGTGGTGTTACACTGCTCGCAGGAGAAAGTGCTTCCGGAGTAGAATGTAACCGTAGAAAAGATTCAACCACTGAAACCGGGGCATCTATCACATTCCTTGATGAACTAGGACTCTTTGATGACTATAGGACTATAGTCAGAGAACGAGGGATGCAACAGTTCTTAAATGGCGCAGTATAGTACATCTACAGCTAGCTATATACCTTACAGTGATAGAGAGAAAGGGCCACGGAAGCCCAAAAATCATGAATGAATTAGAATGGCTGGAAATATTTATTTTCTAATTTGTAAAGTTATCCTTTATAAACTGTATTATTTAGGCCATTGTTGAAGGTGTTATTGTTTTATGTATTATATTTTTAAAATGTCTTCGGAAAATACGATACGTTTAAATTTTACGTAAGCGCGGCTAGACCCGTTTTTGCCGATTCTAAAATTTCTCAAATTTAGAGGAAAGCTATGAAAAGCTAACGACAATGCTAATTGCAGCGCGCTTTATAAAACGAGCCAGTCCACCGGGGCGACGACATCTACAAGCGTTATAAAAATATTTACAACCATCATTGTAATTACCGTGAGAGTCGTGCTACAGCGAAAGATATAATTTTTTTTGTGTATTGTTTTGGTTGTTAAATACTGCCGGCGCAGCAGGCTGTGAGGAGTCTTTTCGCCCTCCCTGCCCTCGATCTTCTCGCTTCCCTATGCCACTATGAGGTGGCCATCCTCAGCTTCTGCTTCTTCACGAAATCGAGCGCTTGCTTGTCCCACGTCCTCGTCTCGAGGGTCTTCAGAATAGGGTGGTCTGGAAAACAAACAGAGTCAGCACGGAGATATAAGACTGCGTGACTTGTACGCACTTTTGTCCTTCTGCTGCATGAGAGGCAGTTCGATAAGTTTGAGTCCGTGGAAGTTGTCGGCGGAAGCGGAGCTCGACACGCCGGGGATGCTCGAAAGCGAGAGGAAACACTCACCGGCGAAATCATTCGCAGTGAGAACATCATGATCCATGACTGTAAAGCAAATCATAGCTCCTTCTGATTTACACTGGTCAAGCGTCACCGAGCTGCAAACCATCACTTTTAGAAAACAATTATTTATACAATCGTTTTAAAACGTACAACTCAAAACATTCGTCGAAATAAGGATTTAACGTCTTTTTTTGTACTTTGGTCTCTTGTTCCGTGCAATGTGGGAAGACGCATTTCGGGAGGAGTTCCACTATCACAAAAGGATCGCTGAAACCTAAAAAATCTACCGTGTAATGGCTTTACACTAAATAAACCTTTTAGAATATACCGTTTGGATCGAGAGGGATGACGTCTCTGGCGTTGAGCACTTCGACGCAGAGGCTGTCGTGGTGGAAGTAGGCTCGAACGGAAAGTACGCCGTACTCAGTGCTGTCGACGGATATCTGCTTGAACAGCCTCTCGGTGTAGTAGAGGTTGATGAGCTGTTCCGTCTCAGTCTTGTGGTATTGCAGTCTTTGCTCGACGGCCCTGTAGTTTTCTAAAAAATAACGAATTATTAATAATAACAGAAATTCGAGATGTATAACCAAAGGAAGGGCGCTCGTGTCCAACACTTCTTAAATACCAAGAAGCATTGCGGGTTTAGCCTGTTAAACAATTTTAAGGCGATTCACATGTTATGGCTTTTCTCCTGTCAAATTAATTCTTTTTAACGTCCGATAAACCTTTTATAATTCCAAATTAACCTTTTCTTTTCAACATAATTAATTATTTTATACTTCAAATTAACCATTTTTAATTTCAAATTACTCCATTTTTGCACCAAATTAACTCTTTAATTTGAAATTACCTTCAAATAAACGCAATTAAATTCCAATAAAAACTATTTTTCCTTTCATATTAACTTTTTTTTAAATTTCAAATGATCCATTTAAAACTTCAAATTAAACATTTTTAATTTCAAATTAATCCTTTTTTGCACCAATATAACTTTTTAATTTAAAATTACCTTCAAATAAACTCAATTAAATGCCAATAAAAACTGTTTTTACTTTCAAATTAACCTTTTTTAATACAAACTTAACCATTTACAACTTTGTATCCTTTTTACTTCAAATAATCTTTTTTTAATTTCAAATTAGTCCTTTTTTTTGCATAAAATTATTTTTTTTAAATTTGATATTACCTGACAATGAATTTAATAAAATTACAATAAAACTTATTTTACATTCAAATCAACCTTTTTTATTTGAAATTAACATTTTTAACTTTTTTTGTATGCGTCGGTAGTTTAATCAGCCAAATTTCTATCTTGAAACTACCATTTTTGTATTTCTTGGGTTTCTTTTGAATGAAGAAAATGAGTTTGATAGTTGTCTAGTTCCTGAAAAGAAACTCCAAAAATACAAAAAGCCAAAAACCGAAAAAGAAGAGTAACCCTTTATAATTAAATTGAAGGTAATTTCAAATTAACTCAACTTAATTCTAAAAAACCTTAATAAATATTTCAAATTAGCCTTTTATAATGTGCGTAACAACTCTTTTAAATTAAAAAAGACTTTTTTTTACCAAATCAACATTTTTAAAAATTAATAATTTCTTTAAAACAACAAAAAATTTGGGGCCTACCCATATTTAAAATAATCACGAAAAATAAAATTCCTGCATTTAATATAAAAACAAATCATTCTTCTTTTAATTCGAGATTTTTTTAAAAGTATAAAATAAATTATCTCTTAAAAACAAATGAAAAAATTACAATTAAAACTGATTACAATGTAAGAAAGTTGTATTTCTAACCCGTATATAAAAAGTTTTTTAATTTAATATTTAATTTTCAATTGTAATTCAAATACATATTTATATGGTCCCAGTTATTTTATATTAAAAAAATTCAAATTAAACGAAGAATATTTATTTTATATTTAATTTTATATAATTAGTAATTTTAATTGTAATTAGTTTATATTTTAAAATTAGTTATAATTAAACGAAACCTTTATTTCTTTATTAAAATGAAGATTTAAAATGTCTGTTATTTAATTATAATTAGTAATTTTAATTGTAATTAAATTTCATATGATCTTCTTGAAGCTAAATTATTTTATATAAAATAAAAGTCTCAAAGAGAGGAATTTTACTTTATCTTCTTTTATTTTTTTTTGTTTTTGTAAAATTTGTTTTAATGATTATAAGAAAGGGTTAATTTCATATCAAAAAGTGTTCTTTTCTAGTTAAAAATGATTTATTTAAGTTGGAACTAGAAAAATATAAATTGAAGGGTTAATTTGGTACCTCAATGGATTAATTTGAGGAAAAAAGCTATAGTAACTAGCATTCAAATTAACTATAAAAAATCAAAACATTCATTCACCAAATCTTAATATTTAATTTTAGACAACAAAATAAATTACAATTTTCATATTTAATATTACTCCGAGAGTTGAGATTTATACTTGATTGGCTAAACATTTCTTAATTTATAATTAAATATTGTAATTCAAAACGGTTATTTAAACGGCGAAAAACGCAACATAGATCGCATTAATTTCAGTGTGCCATAAATTCAGTATTGGCTCAGGTTTGGTGCGGTTCTATTTGATTAAGAAACTCCACTGGGCCAAAAAAAAAAACTATCTACTAATCAATTTATCTCTTGTGGTCGCTGCTGTGTTTGCAAACAACGATAAAAACAAAATAAAAAAACTGATTCGATTTACTACAAAGGATCCTCCTTGTGGTGCAAATTTTAAATATAAAATTATTACCTAGCTTGATGTTTTCGAGTGTGAGTCCTTTTCCGTCGGCGTGAAAAAAGTCGACGAGGATGTCCAGTGCGTCGTAGAGACGGTCGTAGAAGCCGGCCATGCGGTCGACAGCGCTGCCGTCCATCTGATGGCCAAGCTGTAGCAAGCAGACGTCCCAAACCGCAGAAAGGACCCGTTCAAAGTTCTTCGGTAGAAGGGCCGCGTTCAAATCCAGCAGGTGTGTGTCCAGGTATTCAAGAAGGGGGTTGATCGCGTCTTCCGTCGGCAGGGAGTCTGGCGACCAAGCAAGGTGAAACATTGCTTTCTTCAACGGTGAGCACATCTAAAAGCCAAAAAATTATAAATTTTTTATATTTAATATTACGCCATGTATTACCTTGACTCCGAGACGAGTGATGACCATCGTGATGTCAGCTTCTAGCTGGTTGACAGCTTGGTCGAGGATGGCAGTAATGGCTTTTCTCCACTGGTCTTTTTTAACGCCCGGACCTGCAGCGGCTTCAACAGCTTCCAAGACCGTCTCCATGCCAACTTCGTCCGGAATCAGGCTGATCGTCCTTCTCACATATTCCAAATCGTTCATCGCAACGCACATCTCACAAAAAAAATAAAAATATAACTATAACATTTTTACTAATGGTTATTTTTGCTGATATTTTTGATATTTAGGTCAAATAGAATAAGAAAGTAATAATAAAATAGTTATTATATACTATTTTGGGGTAAATCAGGAGTCGATAAAAATTTCTAGAAGAGGACTAAATCGTAAACCAAATCAAGTTCGGCGGGCCCAAGTTGAGACTTGAATAGATTTATTTTTTTAATAGGAACACCTACTTATAAAACAATTCTACTTATAGTTATTTTTTTATTAGGTGATATTTTATATACATTATATTTATAACCATTATTTCTTATAAAGTCCATTATATTTAGTGGTCTATTGACCAAATTACTTCTTTCAATTATTTAATCTTTTTATGTAAGGTTTTGGTTGAAATGAAAAAGCTAGTGCCACGACTGGGATTCGAACCCACGACCTTCGGCTAACACGCAGCTGCTTACCACTTGAGCTATCGACTTTGATCCACTCGGACACCAACTTCCAATCTCAACGTATAACCTTTTGATTTTCTCTCCTTTTTGCCATTTTTCATCATCTCAGTGGATCGAAGTCACGATAGCTCAAGTGCTAAGAGCAGCGGCGTATTTAGCCAAAGGTCGAGGGTTCGAATCCCGGTCGTGGCACTAGCTTTTTTCATTTCAACTAAAACCTTACATAAAAAGATTAATTTTTTCTTGTACTTAAAAAAATTCACAAAACTGTAGATTAATGAAAATGTGCACTGTGAAAAATGAATTTATTTCTTTTGAAACAATATTTGATCATACTTCCCAGTCAGTAATTTCAATAATTATCCTTCATGAAAATCAGTTGCCGTCAATTAATAAAGACATTTACATACTTCATCTTAAACGTTTTCTAACATGTCCCAAAAGTTCAAAAAATATGCTAAAATTTTGTTTTTAGAGTATTCTCGTCCTTCTTAAGAGCGAATCGCAGACTGTCTTTCTCAACTGAGAACATAGGGTGGCCGTGTTTTTCGACATTGAGAAGGCCTTCGGCAGGACAAAAGGTACGGTATCTTTCGGTAATGTCACATGTTCTGAGGGAGAAACTACCGTATTTGCTTAGAGATTCCCTGAACAACAAACAAGTTGATTTTTTTCGCACTCCATCCGAAAGAAAAAGGAATACCACACTTAGGTGAAAAGTAGCACCACTGAGGACTCTACGAGGCGTATTGAGCCAAGTGGAACCATAAATGATGCCATAGACGGCCCGTTGAACTCTCACCTTGTTTACTGTGAGACAGTTTATTTGATCGGTATTATCACAGAATAAAAAATGATCTCCATTTGGGAAGAATTTCCAAAAGAATTTTTCCTATATGAAAACAACTGGATTGAGATTTTAATTATATTATTCAAGAGGAATTTTTCATTAAACCAATTCATTATGATATTACGGACATTTTTAATTTGTTGAAATATCCGTTTATAGTTACTATTAGAGAAAAGAAAAGAAGTTTTATATAAATTCATGAAAGTCTATGGATTTATTTTTTTTAACTAATGAAAGGTATACTTATCGCTAGCCTTTAATGATAGTCGCGGTTTCTCAACGTAATTTTGAACATTAGTTAAACGACTATTTAGCACGAAATTGATTTATTAAAAAAATATAATTACTCGCTTTGTGCAATTAACAAGTAGCGAAGGTCTCCCGCCCAGATTTTGGCACGCCATGTAATCTATCTTAAAATTTAATTATACTATATGTTTTATAATATTCTAAACTGTATATGTTGTTACATTTATTTGCGAAATAATATTTTTTTACGTTAAAACGTTTTATCGATAAAAATTACGAACAGATCCTCTCGGTTTCGAAAATTTCTAAGGTTTTAATGAGATACTCATATAAATAGAATATAAATTGTTGAAATCGAGAGGAAGAATCAATGAAAAAACGAATGAAGTATTTTAGGAAAAGACCTTTTTCAATTTTTACCGACGTTTCGACCTTTATTCGGGTCATCTTCGGGCCTGAGTGAATTACAAAACATATGTTGATCAGAAAAAAATAGATGTAAAAATAAATTTCGAACCAAGTATTTAATGTATTTTGTTATTTATATATTTACATTTGTTTATTTATTCAGGCCCTGAAGATGACCCGAATTAAGGTCGAAACGTCGAAAAAAATGAAAAATGTGTTTTTCTAAAATACTTCATTCCTGACCGCTCCTCACTAAAAACATACAAAAATAATATAGCGGAGATGATAGAAAATCGGGTTTTTTACCTCATCAGTTGTTTTAAACGGTCCCGTGTCTTCGTAATAACCAGTGTCCTGCAGTTTTTGTTGTGTTATCTGACTGTAATATATCGCTCCACTCGATATACTCTATAAAAGAGGCACAATCATTTAGAAATTAGTCCAAATTAAAAACCATTACACGTACGTCTATAAGTTTATAAAGTAGGTTGTAAGACCCGACTAGGTCAGGCCAGGCGAGCTGCTTCCAGAATTCCTTCATCTGGTAGAAACAGGCCGACGTGTCAACCGCCGACGTGCTGTGCTTGACGATGTAGTCCCCCGAGCAGAATCTATTGAGCTCAGCAGCTTTTTTGATCCTATTCATCGCCTTTAACAATAAATTGAACGGTTCAATTGTCAGTGGAATAGATTGGGACGTCGGGATTACCCTGAATTTAGCGAGATCTAGCCATTTGTCGACAGCGGGTTCGAACCATTGGTAATACAGATGAACCGCGAGGGATTTCTTGTCCGGCAGGCTTTCCCTAAAGCTAGTAGAATATTTATAAGTGTAAATTATGCAAATACGGTGTTTTTAAATACCTGGCGAATTCTTGAATAGAGAGGTAAAGTTCGAAAATGGATGTGGCCATTTCCACTCCCGGTGGCATGACCGGGGCCTCGTCTCCTACTTCCGGCATGACTATCTGCTGGCAAAGATTGTGGATCTCTGGGCCTAGGTCGTTCGTCACCTGGATTTTGAGAAAACCCCGGTAAAAAAAAGTTGGGGAAACGTAAAAAAAATTATAAAAAAATGTATAACCATAGACGAAAAAAAATTGAAGTTGTCTCAATACAATAAACTACATTCTACTATTTTTAAATTGAGAAACAAAAATAAATTATTTTTCTATTTTTTTTGGTTCTTCTAGAAAAATTAGTTTCTACATTTATCCAAAAACAATTCTAACCAAGATTCCATAATGACTAGATTATTTATGGCTTCTAAGAGTTTTTTTTTTTTTTTTTTTAAACGAGGGTTCGCACCAGCAGAGTTCATATAAACCCTCAGGTTGCCGGTGTTTTTGAAAAAAACATTTTTCTGGTTCGAATGCAGGGCCGCTGGATTCGAACCCGGGACCTTTACCTTATAGTGCCTAAACCGTTGCGGCCACCGACGCCCCTCCTACAATTGACGTTCCATAAACTATTAGACAGGTGTCAGATATTAAATGGCAACCCTTTTTGAATGTTTCTACTTTACTTATTCAGATATCGTGAGATGCGGTCGGGTGTGATGTAGGTTTCAGAAAAACATTTTCTTTATCGTGCCAACGTTTCGATCTTTTATTGAGCCCTGAAGATGATCTCAATAAAAGATCGAAACGTTGGCACGATAAAGAAAATGTTTTTCTGAAACCTACATCACACCCGACCGCATCTCACGATATCTGAATAACTATCGATTAACGGTCACTAATCTCTACACATTTCTATTTTACTTTTAAACCTCTTCTTTAAAGAATCACTTTTGTTTCAGGTTTACTTTTAAGATATGAAGTTATTAAAGTACATATTGGTTTTGCAAGTAAGATTAATTCTTAAGATTATGTTTTAAGCTTATTTTTGATTTCCCAAATGTATGGATTGATTTGAAAGAATGTTTTATGTATTTGACAATTCATTTCTTTTTCGTCTTTCATTATAAACGGTTTAGGACAGAACAATTAAAAAAACAATACAACAATTATCTCTCTACAATCTAATGACATTTAAAGCTGCCAATCCAGTTGCTAAAAATAAAAAAACTTTCGAACGGAAAACGATTATCTTTATTGTCGCATCCGCTTCACTCGTCGACTTACCTCTTTCGACCGACAGCTAATATGAAATACAATGCGTTTATTATCTAAATTTCAAGTGCATATTGACATTTCACACGTCTATTTATTAAATAATTTCGACATCCATGCTTTTAAGCTGCTATGCTGCGACTATAAAGCAACAATCGTTCCACCTGTACTTACATATCGTGTATTAGCAGAACGTTTTGTTATGTTTTTATATATTTTGCTTATATTTATTAGCTGCTAGACGCATCACTAGACACTCTGGACTTAATATAATTTTATAAAAGGGTTTTATTTTTCGTATATGACTGTTTTGCCGTCTAGAAAAGAGGAGCAAAATGTTCTAGTAACAATGAAACCTTCCAGTGGTGCGTTTTGCTTTAAAGCGACTCTCATATAAAATTGAAGAAGAGAACAAAAAATTAAGAGAGAAGGCGAAATAAAAAGAAAGAAAAGAAAACACGTGCCAAACTGAAAAATCTGTCGCTACAAATATACCTCGATCAAATCCAGGTTCCTTGTCAACTCTCTTGCCAACTTGAAGTGGGAGTAAAAAGGGGAAAGAGTAAGAGAAGTGAAGAAAAAAGGATAAAAATAAAAAATAAAATCGTTATAAATTTCCTTTTTTTATTTCAAGTTTTTTTAAGGCTCTGAAAATAAAAGAGAGCGGTATCTGTCAATGTGCCGAAGGAGTTTTTCTTTTCTTTTTATTGTGTCCTGTTCACAAGAAAACAGTCTGATCATCATGTCGCAGCTTAGAAAAACTTGTGTATAGAAGAGAGAGGTTCATGAAAAATTAATGTGACGTATTTTTGTCGTTTGTCCCGTCTCCAGGCCACCCCCAAGGGGCTCTTTTATACGGCACATTCACAGATACGAGAAAAAAGATTGTGAAAGCTGACCTTGTTTTAAAAGTTTTAAAAAGGATATAGGCGCAATATTAAAAAAATTGAAAATACAATTTTTCGCTTTATTTTTGTACAGTCGGCTAAGGTGAAAAAAAATTTGCATACCAATTTTTCAAGTTGTTTGTAGATAGCGCTAAAGTAGGGAACTCCGTTCGTGCTGAAACAGAAATATAACAAATATTTCTTCAAGAATAACAAAATCCCGGTTCTACACTTTTCAGGGCAGATAAGTGGAAAACTGACAGCATGATATATCGTAAGGAATATTTTTCAAGTTGTGCATGTTTTTCGAGGCGTGCATGTTAACAATAAATTACATTTTTTCCTTTGTCGATATGGTTAAAAAAATTCGACTTTCATATCTGTCACTCGTTCCATGCTTCAACTGTGGATGGATTTCTGAATTAACTATGCATGGTGTCTCGTTTTTATATGGCCCGGCTGCATTTCTCTTGAACAGATAACGTTATTAAAAAACCAAAAAAAAAAAAATTTAATATTTACTATGCAGTTGTAAAAAACAAATAAAAAGTTAAATAAAAAAAAAATATTTACTATTGTAGTTTTGGTTTAATAGTTTTTAGTCTAGTTGCTTGCAGGTGTGCCACAAGGGTCAATACTAGCTCGGCTGTTGTACACAATTTTTACTTCTGATATGGTCACAAATGAGAATACACTTACCGCCACGCATATGACAACGTCATATTAACAAGTCATCCCCTTTCTACACAAGCTTCACTTATTTTACCAAACTCATATCAACAATTGAAAAATGTAGCAATCTTTGGAAAATAAAGTTTAACCCCGCAAAGATAACAACATATCACCTTGGCACACCGTCGTCAGACTTGTCCTAGCATAAACTTACACAATGGACCTGTTCTTCAATCCGCAAAGTTAACAATTTAGGACTTACATTTGATACTATTAAAAAAAAACAGATACTTAACAAACGATTTAAAACGCTTTATTACCTACTGAACCGACAATCAAAATTACCATTAAAATCAAAACTTTTGAGATTTGGATTCAAAACAACCTATTTGAATGTACGGGTGCCAAGATCATGGACCAGCCAAATATTCCATTAGTCAAAGCTTACAGAGTTATCAATACAAAATTTTAAGACTAATTGTTTTTGCCCCTTTTTACGTAAACAATAACGCACATCACAGAGATCTTCACATGCCAATAGTGTTTTCATCATTAAAACATATTACAGACTTTTTCATAGTAAATTACAAAATCACAAATACGATTCCCCACAATTACCACTCTGAAAAGAATATGGATAAGAGACTGGGTAACTTTCTCTATAACGCCCGTAATGCCAAAAACATAATTTGAAATATAATCTGCTGGTTGTATATAATACATGTACAGTTTTAGAAACAAATAAATGAAGTAAAAAAGTCTATTTTTTAAAGTTTTATCGCTTTTTAAGATATTGATTGTCTGGATACTTCAGAGCCAGTACTACGTTGAAATTTTAAGTGAGAACATTATTAACTGTTTCAAGAGAATTTTACTGAACACGACAGCGCAATCAGATTTTAAATTGGCCAAAGAATATCAAAGTTATGTCACAGAATGAGAAAGAAAATATTTTCATTTATTAGTTATTATTTATTTTGTTTTTATTTATATTGTTTTATTATTATTATATTTTTTACAAGCGTTCGCAACAGCAGAAGTTATATGAACCTTCGGTGTTTTTGAAAGATCAAACAAAAACCCATTACTAATTATGCCATCCCGCAGCCATGCACTCGAACCCGGAACCTTTACTTTAGTAATGAGCGGGTGGGAGCTCCTAAACCGTTGAGGTCACCGACTCCCCCATTGTAACATCATTAGAATAATAAATAATTTATTAACTAATAAGAATTACAATTTTTCACTGCCTTAAATCAATTGAATAGGCTAAACCAGCAACGCTCTTCTGTATTGCATAAGTATTGGGCACTAACGCCGTCCATTTCAAGTTTTTTTTAACGTGAGTATTACCCTCAGGGTCCCGGTGTTTTTTTTTTGGGGGGGGGGACATTTGCAAGTATGTCGGGTTCGAATGCAGAGCCGCTGGATTCGAACTCCGGACTTTTACCTTACAGTGAAGAGCTGTGTCAACGCTTTAACAGCTACGACCACCGACGCCCCTTGTTATTATTTTTAGTAATTTGTTCTGTAATTTTAATAAAAATTCTGTTTTGTTTTTTCAATAGGACATTGTTAACAATAATGCACGTGAAAAACATAAAATTACAAACAATTCTAATGCGAGAACTGATTGAATTGAATTTCTTGGGATGATGTTGATAGGTCTGATAGCAGTGGGTACGCACGTTTTTATTTCATCATTTTCGATCATGAAAAACAAAAAACAGGAACGCAGATATATTTGAAACATCCATCAACATCATCTTAAGAAATTCTTAAAACCAACTAACACCAAAATAGCAAATGAAAATACTTAATAATAAAAAATTGAACAAAAAACGTGGATTCCACACACACACACGCACGCACGCACGCGCGCGCGCGCACACACACACACACACACACACACACACTATTAAAACAAATTGGCTGTAAATTAGATATAAAATGCTGAAGATATTACTTGATGAAAGATCTAAACTGACATTACTTAAAAAAAACTATTATATATTGCTCAATAAATTTTTATTGCATGAAAATGCTTCATTTTACTTCACCAATCTACTTATCAATATTGGAATAATTGTTTATTTGTTTGTTACGATTAAGATTCAACATGGAATTTATTTAGGCGATGAATTCAAACGTAAAAAATGGTAGGCTTATATAGTTAATTTTATTAAATACGGTCAATTAATAGTAAATTTCCTGATGTTATGGACAGAAGGTTCTTTGTGTTCACGCACCATTTGGTTTTCTTTTCGTTTCTGGGCGTCCCATAGGGGCGCACTCACCCCTTTTCAATTCTAATCTCGTAACCCAGGTTGGGTATAAGCGCGTTTACCCTTTCAGTCTTTCTAACGGCGGGTCATAGATTCTACTCTGGATTGATAAACGGATCCGGTGACACTGAAGATTGAAAAATTGCCAACCTTTCGAACATAGGATTGTAATGGTCGATTCCTTTCTGCAAGTCAACAATCAGAGCCGTGATGAGTTTGACGAGTCCTTGTATCCTTGAATCCGGGTCTGCTCGAGCTACGGAGATATTTCTGTGAACTTCCTCGTACCTTATTTAAAAAAAATTAAATTAAATTAAACAGTAATTTTTTCTTTAAATTAAAGTCTAATGTCCTACCAGTCTAATGTTCCTTTCTTTAAAGAGGTGATAATCTCTCCCCTAATCTCCTTGTTAAAAGGGCAGCATTTCCAGAAAGCTTTCATATTCGCCAGAAGCCCGAGACATCTAAAAAAATAATAATGCGTAAGGAAAATAATTATAATTAAAAATATTTTTTTTTAAATAAGCACCTGAGCAGGTTTTCCAGTCTGTTCATGGAAGGCCTGTGATAATGAGGAAAGTACGTCCTGTGGTTTTTAATCAGCTGAAACGCGTACTCCAAAAACGTGTTGAAAGATTCAGCAAGATACTCCTCCTGTTACAGTTAAATTATATTTTTTTTACAGGGAAAAATTCAAATTCAAAAATTATGTTTTTAAAGGAGAAACCGGATTAATTGGACGTAAGTTAATTCAATTAATAAAGGGGCAAAAGTAATAAATCCGTTGTTAATGAAAGAGCCCTGTGGGCACCCTTTGAAAGTTAAATGCCCCGTGGTCTGCTGATGCGGGGAAAAGGAGATGGGCCCGTAATTAGAAATTGCTTTGCACAGCGTAACTCCATTTCAACTCAAATGATCCGTCGAACGGTAGCTCAAATAATTTTAACATAACATATAAAAGTTTATAAATTTAAATTTTCAGCTTGCGATCGTTTTACTCCGCCGGTCTCCGACTTAGCATAAGTTAGGAATAGTTGCTAAAATAAGTTAAAAATAGTTGTAAGGAATGTCAAACATATGCTGCAAATAAGGCAGTAGATTTGATACAAAGAGACATTTCCCAATATTGAAAAAAATAGGTAATAAAAAAAAATTGTAGGTTGAGATGGTGTCTCCAGGTTGAAGTGGTGGCGCAGGGGTACTGATTCGAAGTAGTGGGTTCGAGTGACGCTCCTGTCACTAATTATTCAACTCAGCCTTACTTGCATATAAAATAATAAATCAATTTAAATAAAGAAATAGAGGAGTTATTTAGTGTGGGGAGGTTGTCGCGGATACAGTTCATCAAGCTAAAGGCACTATATATTAGAGTCCACGTCACCCTGGTGGACGTTGTATATTCTTCACCGGATGCCTATCGATTCGGATCAGGAATCTGCGTGACAGTAACTCCTGACAATTATGAGTTATTGCGCGCCAACCCTTGCAAGAATGAAGTTCATCTGGCGCACTAGTCTTTGCTTTTTCTTTCCTCCCCACCGTTTGGGAAACCGGTATAAAAGGTTTCTTATTTAGAAAGCGAAATCGGTCAAATCGAAGACTCATCCTAGTCAACTAGAGAATTAAGCACTGTCGAGTAGCCAAGTCGAATGGAGAGCTGCGGGAAGACGACCCTGGACGACTGCTCGGTGATGTACAAACTTGTATTGGCGAGCATCTTTTGGGGTAAGTTCTCTTGTGAATAAGCTCATCTCATAGTTAGAGTAGTGGTTGACTTACTGTTGTTTGACGTTTTATTTGAGTTACCATATTAAGACGAGCCAGAAACAATAAATGTTTACCAATATACAGGGTGTCCAAGCTAATGCGCCCACCCTTTGCGGTTCTAGATAGAACACTATGAATTGAGAATCCCCTTAATTTTTCATGTATTTGTTCATGTAAGTCGATTTATTTTTGTCGACCTCGATTCGGCATAAGTCGAATTCAAATTCTTAATTTTAAATGAGAACCCCCATTTTTCACATTTTTCTTTGAAACTAGATATTTGGCAAGAAAAATGAGAACTGAGTTTGATGAGCAACGAGGGTTTGCAACAGCAGAGGTTATATAAACCCTCGGGGTGCCGGTGTTTTTGAAAAAAAAAAAACCGTTTGTAAGTATGTCGGGTCCGAATGCAGGGCCGCTGGTTTCGAACCGGGACCTTTACCTTACAGTGATGAGCACCATGTCAACGGTTGTTGCGGCCACCGACGCCCCCTTTGCACTGAGATATTAAAATCGGTCCAACAGAACCGGAGGTATGATTATTGAAAATAGCCGGAATGCTGTTCTAATGCGTTAGGTCAAAACCACTTTCGGTTTTCGAGGCGAAGAACTCCTCACATCCTAATTTGACATCTTCATAGTTTTTGAAGTTTCGGCCTTTCAAAAATTGCGCCATTGACCGGAAAAGACCATAGTCCGACGGTGCGACGTCAGGGTTGTAAGGAGGGTGGGGACATTGTGAAAAAATATCTTGGCTAAACGTGAACGATGGGCAGGAGCGTTGCCTTGCCAAAATATCGCTTTATCCCGATTGAGCAAAGCAGGGTACATCTCTTTTAAAACCCCATATACTCTTTCGAGTTGTTCACAGTAATGGGCCAATAGCCCTGCTATCTGGAACTAGCTTAAAGTGCAACATACCCACATAATTCCACCAACACAAAGCATAATCTTTTTTCCAAATCGATCTTGGCGAACCTCTGCTTGAATTTCTTGGCTTCGCGGTACCTACTGTTTTCGGTACATAGTATTTTTAAAAAAATATGTTTTTTCATCCCTCGTTACAATTCTCTTCCAAAATCTATCATCTTTTGGATTTCGAAGCAAACTTTTACAGATATCAACTCGTTGTTGAGCTTGGGTAGCTAAGTCATGAAGATCTGATCTGGGTCGTATATTTCGGGCATTAAACTTTTTTAAATGGCGGCTTACCGTTGCATTTGAGTCTGCCGCCTTTGAACAACAAAAATCAGCGAGGATGTTAGATAACTATCATAAAAAAGAAGTTCTGCTTAGCTGGTAAAGATAATACAGTGTAATAAGGTAAGATTTGAAGTGAGTCATTTAATTTGAATTTCTTCCCACCGATAAGACTTGAAATATAATTTTCGCTCATAACTGCAAAGATTAAAGGTTACCACTCCGTCCTCATTTTACACAATTTCAGTCTTAAAATTAATTAATCTAATCTTCCTTCTAGGGCGGGAAAAGGCAGACAAATTTAATAATTTGACTTTATCATTGTAGATAGTTTTGCAAAATAACATTTAAAACTAAACTTAGAAAATATGACTGTTGACGTTAATTATATGGCTGATGAGATTAATAGATCACAATAAGGTTTTTAAAAAGTTATTTGAGAGTTTTAATCCTGGAAAATTAAGTTCGAGTACCTCTTGACGAGTGAGTGCTTCGTGCGGCCAGGCGTGTTCCAAATTGGAAAGGAGTCTGGCCAAAACTTGCGGTTCGACCCCGTTCAAAGCAGAATAGGCGATCCACCGTACTGCGGATACCTGGAGATCAGTGAGATCGCCTTGTATGGCGTGCTGGTGTAAAATAGAAAGGGCGACGTGCGGTAGTTCCCCCGTCCAAATTTTCTGTAAAATCAATAATAAAATTTTTCCAAAAATAACTTGGGTCTGACATTTAACTACAAATACGAAGTGATTTTTGTTTTTGAAACAAGCATTCGACTCTAATGAGCAAGCATGTTTAAATTAATCCTTGGGGGGAGTGTACAAGACCGTTTCATGTTACAGACGTATTCAATAACAATGTCTGTTCCTTAAAGCCTCGCGGTTACTTTACGGTTTACCCCGTCGTGCTTAAACACCGTGAGAAATCGGCTCAACGAGAGAACACAGACATGGAATAATCATTCAAGCATTTTCCCGGAATGCGAATTATTTTCAACTTACGGATTGTGAACGGGACATCTCGTAGTTTGCGAATACGGTCGTGAGTTTGACCTGTTGTCTCATGTCTTCCCAGTTGTCCTCCTCAGACGTGCCTCTGTCTTCTCGGGTCGAGAGCCAGAGTTTTAAACGTATCCGGCCTTGGATGTTCGATCTCTGAGTCCTAGCTTCAAGCTTGTACCAGCAGTCCAGGCCGGTTGCGGGTATATCCTGTGTTTGCATGGATTATTTTTAATATATATTTTTTTATATTAGACCTTACCTGTAGAGGTACGTTGACACAGCCTAAAAAATCATCTTGCGATCCTGACCTGGCGCTCTGGGCTATCTGTTTGAAAAACCTTCCGAGGCCTTTAACGCCCCTGACTTCGTTCAACTTAGACACTGCGTCGAAAACGGAAGACTCGTCGTCATGATCCCTTCAAAGAGGTAAGGTTTCAAGAAATGGATAAAACAATTATTGATATAATTAGATTAAAAATACCAAATATCGAGGTGAAGTATGTCGGTTGTCACATCGTCTATGTCGCTAAAAAGAATATAAAACAAATCTCTCTGAAATTTCTTTCTTTAATTGATTTTTTCTGCTTCTTCTTGTGCTTCTATAACTTACAATCGGAATTTTTCATTCCACCTTGGATTGAGGGTCTGCGGTCGGACGGAAGTGGCCCTAATGAACTTTGCGGGGACCGCGGAGGAGATGCTGTCCCTGTGCTCCCTCCGGTCTTTCCTTTTGAAGCTGAGCCGGAAGCTGGAAAAGTAGACAGATGGAGGACATGTTCTCGTGCCGATGTGCTCGCTTACCTGTGGTGCTTACGCAGTTTGTCATGGTGCTGTTCCGGCTTTTCCGGAGGATCCAGACCGCCTTCGGACATGGCCCGAGAGGCCGCCATTCGGGGGCAAGGGCTCGGCGGAGGAGGCGAGGCCATCGCCCCCGGCTGGATGCCAAGCATGCAGTACGGATCTGAAAAACCTGGTGCAAAACGAAACGGGTCAGCGATTTCACATTTGCCCCCTTCAAAACACGCACACCACAGGTGCTCAAACTGATAACCACCTCCAAGTTATCTGCCAAAATCTCTTCTTATTTACAAATATTCTAACTACCAAAACTATCAGACATAAACATTCCCTTTTAAATTGTATTTTTTTGGGTGATAGTCAAGTTTTAAACTACATCCAGTGCTTTTTAATTAAAAATAGTGCTTAACAAATATACGATAAGTGCTTGAAAACAACAATATACAACCCGACCTCTCACCTCAGATGAAATTCGTTACCGATTTATAAAACATATTTATTTACCATGTAATTGGGATATTTTTTGGACTTCGCAACGTTTTTGTGTTTATTAATTTAACGGAATGAATGTAATTTATTAGCGTGAAAGGAAGAGGGACTGTTTAACTCCACCCCCAGGATTATCGAGTACTCTGGGGGAGTGAATCTGCCTGCATTTTTTTTTTGATCGGGTGTTGTTTATGTTAATTTAACGGAATGAATGTAATTTATTAGCGTGAAAAGAAGGGGTTGTTAACTCCACCCCGAAGATTATCGAATACTGTGGGGTGAAGAATTTCAATTTTTAAACTTAAAAATTCCACTTAGTCCTGAGGATGTTGTGCGTGGTTTGGCTCTTATTAATGATGGACATTTCATCAGGTATGCGGCTATTGCCATAGGAGTTCCCTACGGAACACTGCGAAACGCCATCAGACGTTTTCGAGATACTGGGTCCTACCATAGAAGGCCAGGTTCTGAACGGCCTAAGGTCACAGAACCCCAGGATGACAGTTTTTTGATTTTGAGAATTTTGCGAAACAGGCACCTTACTGTTGTTCAAGCAATTCACCAGTTCCAGGAAGTTTGAGGTGTCCAAATTTCTGAACGCACTGCTCGAAGAAGATTAAATCAGTATGGACAGATGGCTTTTCGCCCAGTAAGAGGACCAGAATTGACCAGAACACACGGAGTTGGAAGGCTCGCATTTGCTCGAGAACACAGCCTTTGGTCTTTGGACGATTGGTCTGCTTTACTTTTTACACATGAGTGTAGATTTGCTCTACGACCTCCAAATGGGCTTAAAAGGCTTAAAGGAGTGTGGAGAAGGCGAAATGAAAGGTACGAACGTGTAATTTTTCCTAGAGACAACCTTTTCAACGTAGCTCAGGGATGGTGTGGGCGTGAATTTCAATGGAGGGTCGCACAGATTTGGTTGTTGTTCGTGTATGGTCTTTGACGGCTACTCCCTTTGAGGATGAAATTTTGGAACAACATCCGTTGCCTATCCTCCATGAAATTAACGACAATCCTATTCTAATGCATGATAATGCCCGACCACATGTCGCTCGCATAGTACAAACCTTCAACAGCATAACATCAGGGTCTTAGCCTGGCCAGCCCGTTCTCCAGACTTGAACACCATCGAACATTAATGGAATAACCTCAACAGACGAATAGAGCACGTCCATCACTTCCTGAACGATCTTGAAAGGACTCTTTCTGGAAGAATGGGCTAACCTCCAGCAAAGAGATATTTCCAGACTGGTTGAAAGTATAGCGAGGCGTTTTCGAGATGTAATTAAGGCAAGAAGAGGAAATATGCAATATTGAAATGTTAATTAAAAATCTTAACAAAATTAAACCAAATTTTATCTGTCCGTCTTTTTTAAACTTTTTATTTTATTTTTAATTTTCTTTAGCAATTTACATTTTTTTTTGAAAACTTTTTTAGACAAGTCTCAATTAGTAAACGTTAAAAAACGTGAAACTTTGATTAATATATAAAAATATGTACAATTCAAGTTATATTATTTTTTGCCTGTCAGTGTATTTATCAATTAATCTATCTAACGTTTGGATTTCCTGTGTTCTTCATCATTGATTAATTATAACAAAATTAGCCATATATTTTGGCCATATTGTTTAGTCATATATTTTGTAATAATAGACTTTTTTATTTTTACTCTTTTTACTTCTTGTTTTCCATTATAGATTAATTATTATTTACGTTTAATCCCTAAAAAATATACCCAATATTATTAATTTTTTTTATTTTTTATAAAGTAAAGTCCTTTTAAAACAGAAAATACAGTTTTATACCATTTTAAAAATAAGAAGATTTCTTATTATCGTAAAAAGAAATTATTTATTTAATAAAAGTTGAAAGCTTCGGTACAATTAGGCTTATAATAATTCCCTGTTACGTTTTGTTCAATGTGCAATTTAATATTTTCTTTTAGACACTGTATTAATTATTAAAATCCCTGACTTTTTTCTTTAAACACGAGTTTTTCCATATTCTGATCCAATAGGATGTAATGCGTTTAAAAGTGAATTAGCTGTTCATTTTTGCTGGCTCGGGGCCTACAAATCTCGTAAACTCTTGTTTATCATGTTTTACCATTTTAATTCCCTTATCCCCCTTGGCACCCAAGTCGAAAAGACTTATCTTTCGGCCAGATATTAAAGTTGGCACACTCCCACATTATCACAACTTATTTTTTGGTTGCATAGAATTATTTACAAAAAACCAATACGAGGACCAAAAAAACATTTTTCTCGCAATATATGATATAAACCGAGACAAATTTAGCCTTCCGGCAATTTAGTCCTGAATCGGCAATATTGAAACTCCTGTTGACCGAAGGTACTAATTAATTACTCACTAAACAAACAGCAAGCTACCGTTTCACAAACATCACTGATCATCATCGATTTCTTGCGAGTCGAACTAAACCACATTTGTTTTTCCCATAAAATAGGATTTACACGATTAAATATATATTGGATTTATACTATATTCTACATACAATCAAATTACTATGACGGGTTTTGTTGGGTTGAAGAATTAGATAAACCCAATCCATCGTTATTATCATTGGAAGAAACAGGATGTGATGATGATCTATCCTTCATCAGTTTCTTCGTACAAACCACCTTTTTCTATTTAGTCCGCGTTAACTCCTAGTTCCTGCTTTATTCTTCTTCACTTTGATCACAGGATGTACGGACTTCACTGAGGAGCGTAAACTTCTAATTAGTTTTTGTGACTTATCTTCGTTTAATGAGATCCCAGGTATGTACACCGACCATCCTACCGTAGGCTACTTTGGTTCTGCTCTGCTGATATTTTCCCATTCCTTTCTATATATATTATTGATATTTTCCTACATACACGATCTCACTTTTAAATCTTTTGTACTTTTCCTTAATATTAGCTTTCGCTGTTCTGACTAAATACAGAACTATAGTTTTCAGACGTTCCTCCTTATCCGGGCCTCCAATTTATGGAATTTCCTTCATCACATTATTTTTCCAGGCAAAATTTAATTCTTTATTATAAACAACCAAGGATAATCACAAAACACAACCAAGAAGAACAAATGACAAAATCAAGTAAGGGAAAACCGTAGTTGTTTTTAAAAATTTTAAAACCTTTTACAGATAAGCTCCTGCCCAGTGGATTTAAAATTATTAGTGTCAAATGTTGTAAAGGAAGAAATTCCAAAACGTAGCAGGTTACGAAAATGTCGGTCCATGGTACTCAGAGTTATGTCGAAAACGAAAAAGGCCATGCCGACAAGAGTACGTATAGGTCATAGAATATCAAGGGCACTTTCTGGTAAGAAAGTCACCTCATAAGTGCCTGTTAAACAAGGATAAAATAACAGCCAAGTACGTTCTTCATTATAGAATCCTTGATATATATATATATATATATATATATATATATATATATATATATATATATATATATGCAGGCAATATTTTGGCATGACCTGCAGTCTTGGAGCGGGCACAGATAGATGTTCACGTTCCTCAGGCAATGTATATAGTGTTTGCGTTGTGTTTAAGTTAATTTATTGGAATGCATGTAATTTATTAGCTTGACAAGAAGGGGTTGCTTAACCACTCCTGTAAATACGTACTGCAAGTTTTGGTTCCAGTCTGAAGTTGAAAATCTGAGGTACAAACCAAAGGCTAGCATTTTAATCTATTGACGTAGCGTAAATAAAAAAAGCAGAGGTTCAGAAACAGATCGAACGGATGATGGCTGGATAGTAAAAAATATGCTTGAAAAATGAAAAAAAGAAAAACACGCAGAAGGCCAGCGATGACCTCAGCTGTTTGTTGGCCCATAAAACTTCCAAATTATTTATGTTCTAAGAAAAAAAAAATCGATTGTCTGACATAGGAAGTATGCCTGTATGACTGGACGTTACATATTTCACTAACCCTAATGAAGCAAATTTTGTTAAACATTGTTTATATTTTAAATAAAAAATGATGATATCAATATTTCATTAAAACAAACTGCAACGAATTCTTCCTTATCGACTCCCTGTTCGTCTCTGAATTGGTTCTGTCAATTATGATAAAAAAAAGTAAATAGAGTATTCAAAGTTAATATAGAAGAGCATTTATAAAATGTGGATATGCATAATTGAAATCAGTCCATATTTGTTTAGTTGTCATAATTGACCACATTAATTATTCCAATTAATTATTCTTTTGATCTAATAAATGAATTTTCTGTTCGGCTGCCGAAGGTCGTCGGTTCGAATCCCGCTTGTGTCATTAGTTTTTTATCTCAACCAAAAATCTTAAATGAAAAGAATAATTAATTGGAATAATTTAATTTTTTTCAGAAATTGGTTTTTGATATGGGTTTTTCCCTTATTTTCACTTTTCCCCCCTGAATTTTCGTAGTTTATTGAAAGTGGACCTGTCCAAAAGCATAAATCGTTCTTTAATGGCGTGTACGAATTCATAAACCAGTGAGGGAATCGAATAATTAATTGGAATAATTTAAATCTTTTTCCGAAATTCATTTTTGCTATGTTTTCTTTTCCCTATTTTCACTTTTTTCCTGAATTATCGTAGTTTATTGAAAGTAGTTCACCCCAAATGCATAAATCGTTCTTTAGTGACGTGTACGAATTCATAAACCAGTGAGGGAATCGAATAATT